TTCTTGGAGGATCACTAAATTTTGGAGACATTTCAGTCAGGCTTCAGATCCATCAGAGCACTGAGTCTGCTCTGTTGAAGGGGTTTAATGGCATATTTTTAGCTCTAGACGCTGGTGAATCTGTCCTCCTTGTGCTATTAGACCTCACATCAGCCTTYGACACCAATGATCATAACATCCTCATTTCCATGCTGGAGAAGGAGGTGGGTATCACAGGTTCAGCCCTCAGTAGGCTCAAGTCCTACCTGACAGACAGACACTTCAGTGTTCACATAAAGGATTTCATGTCCTCATCAGCACCACTTCAATGGGGAGTACCACAGGGCTCTATCCTGGGACCCTTTCTTTTTTCCTTTATACCTAYTGCCACTAGGTGCAATTTTTCRTAWACATGGCATACCATTTCATCTTTATGCGGACGACTGCCAAATTTACTTTCCTCTGAAACAGGCTGGCCCACACTGCATCCAAMCTCTTCTTGACTGCCTGGYTGACGTCAGGGATTGGATGGCTTTAAACTTCCTAAACTTTAWTGAGAAGAAAACGGAAGTCATTCTCTTTCCAACAACACAAACAGTAACACTTGCATTGACCTTTCCACTCTGGCCCCGTTTAAAAAACAACTTGTCACCAACCTTGGTGTAAAAATGGATCCATGCTTGAAATTAAACAGTCATGTAAACTCCATTGTTAAATCYTGCTTTTTCCAGCTGAGGAGACTGTCCAAGTTAAAACCTATACTGTCCAAAAGAAATCTGGAGACAGTAATTCATGCGTTCATTACTTCCAGGCTGGATAACTGCAATACTCTGCTGTTTGGAATCAGCCAGTCTTCCATTGCTYGTTTACAAATGGTTCAGAAYGCAGCAGCCCAATTTCTAACTGGCACAAGAAAAAGAGAACATATTACTCCTGTTCTAGCATCTCTTCACTGGCTTCCGGTTCATTTCAGAATTCACTTTAAGATCGTCCTGTATGTCTATAAATGCCTAAACAACTCCACCCACTCTTACCTCAAGTGCATCCACTTGTCCCACAGCGCTCTCTTAGATCATCTGGTCAGCTGCTTCTGAAGGACCCTAACCCTCGTCTTAAACTGAGAGGTGACAGA